TGTGGCGTCTGGGCATCTCATGATGATTCTGGTGTGGGTCTCCAACGTCGCGCGAGTGAGTGTCTCATTATGAAGTGGTGTGGGTCTCCAACGTCGCGCGAGTGAGTGTCTCATTATGAGCCTCTCTCATGTGGTTCTTCGGTCCTCCGGTCTGGAGGTGGCATGTTAGGCGGCGGCTCAAAGTCGTGCTGGTCAAACCAATGTAATTTACGTTCTGGAGAAGTCTACAACCTTCTTTGTGGCAGGAATATTTGTAAATAACATTAGTTTGCTGTAATGGGCCCGACTTTTTGCACGGATTATTTTTCATTATTAAATTCTTAATTTTCATATTTTTATAGTAAATCAGGAGTTTGATTCGGTTGGCTGTGGTCGTGCTTTTGATGTTATTCAGCACGATTGATTTGAGGACTCTTTCGTCAGTCTTGTGGCATTCAGTCATCTGATTTTGGTAATAAATTGTTATAATAGTTTCGTCTGATGTTGGTTCATTTTCCGTTTGGTTTTGTCGTGCTCGATAGTTTGAGATTTCGTTGTCGATAGTTTTATTCGCATAGCCGTTGTGTACCAGAATTTGCTTACAGCTAGGTCTGGAGTTCAGTTCTCAAGTCATTGGCCGATGTACAGGTTTTAAATGCTCTGTGTATTAAGGCGCGAATAGTGCTGGTTTTGTATCTCTGGAAACATTCACTTGCTTCGTTCAGTACTCTTCCGACATCAGTAGGTTTTCGGTAAACTTTAGTGACAAACATTGCATCTTCTACTTGCACAAGTATATCGAGGAAGGGGTCCGACAATACTCGGTTTTCTAGTTCGCACATGTAGAATTCAGCAAAGGTTGGACCCAGAGGGCTGACCATGGCAACATCGTTGATTTGATGGTAAATTTAATGCTAGCTTCGCTTGACGTCACCAACCTCTTTACCAACGTTCCTACAGAAGAAACTTTGGAAATAATTGCTAACCATGTTTATTCAAATGAAAATTTACCGGCTCCATCAATCCCTAAAAAGGTCCTACTTGATCTCCTCCGCATCTGTACTCCGCAGGACACAACAAATGTGATACATTAAGTTAAACACATGTGATCTTAACACACACTTAAATTTATGCTTAACGTGGACCACACACACAATTATTTAACTGTAAGTAACCATGCCAACATGTCAGTAACATGATAATATTGCGGTATTTTTCTTCCATTTCTATGAAAGCAAATACAGATATTTGATTCATTTACCATACTAACCAAAAATGATACGTTTTAAATTTTAATACGATATTTTGAGATTCCAGACTCTAGAGTCAAACAATGCAACTCAATTCAAGTTGCATCCCAATCACACACAAGGATTTTAAAATATAATATGCAAGTCATGTACATTTGAGTTTTATGACCATCGAACTATGGTTATGGTCAGTAGACCATAAATATGAATTGGAGTTGAAGCCAGACAAGGAATTCAAGGCTTAAGTTTATATTGCATTTGCTAACTAAAGATATAGCAGACTGCCACAGACAAAGCTAATCTACAAAACACTGCTCATACCTCCAATTTGTGTAGTCTGAGCTGCTGGTGAGCAGCCTTATAAGCCTCTTGTGTGGTGGGGAGAAGCGTGTTCAGGGATCGCAATAGTTATACTCATGCCACTTGCTCCTGTAGTGAGCAATTACTTCAGTCCTAGTGTCAAAGGTGGCATTGCATTTATGGCAGGTAACATCCTTGGCACAAGTTAATTCGGTAAAATATCTGCCATTCAATGCATAGAAACACATGTAAACATAAGCTGGTCAAATTCATCAAATAACATGGACAATGCTGATGATCTGATATTGATGATCTGATATTGATGATCATCTGTGCATGAGTAACTTATGCGCCTGCCAACCTAGCCACCTCCCTGCAGCATATCAGCTGTACAGTCACCCGCTGGCACTCTCCCGACCTGTGGGGCGAGAACCTGGACTTGGTGTCGCAAATCTTGTTCCCTTCCAGCGCCCAGAGGTTGGGTGATAGAACCATTAATAAATGAATTACCTGATGATACTAATTATTTAAACTTCTATTCATCCTTTTCCTCATTGAAATATTTTAGATATCCCGATCAAACATGCATCTATTCCGTCGTATTTCTCAATCACGGAGGCAAATCATTTGGCTGGAGTATTTTCATATCTTTCAATTTCAAAACCTAGTATTAAGGCCACTCTAATTCAACTCATGTGTCCACTTTCCTGACTCCGTGCACCTGACTCCGTGCACCTGACTCTGTGCACCTGACTCCGTGCACCTGACTCCGTGCACCTGACTCCGTGCACCTGACTCCGTGCACCTGACTCCCTGCACCTGACTCCGTGCACCTGACTCCGTGCACCTGACTCCGTGCACCTGACTCCGTGCACCTGTGTCAGCTGGCAGAGAAGGTCTACATGTCTGACCCTCATCGGCTTGTGGGCAACAACGTCACTCAATGATTATAAAATGTTGCGAGTAAGCAGCATATTCCTACATACTCGTATTAGGTGGCATTATTTCGGTTCATGTGATAGATTTGATGCAGCTGATAAAATTTAAAAAGGATAATTTCAATGCGTAAACGTTATCACTCCAGTTCTAGCAACTAAAAGCCGAATAGGATGGCTTTTGTCATAGGAAATAATTATAGCTTAAAAAATTTTGGTTCCAAAATCCAGAGGTAATAAATTAACAACACTACGTTCAATTCATGACAGTATAGGTACATAATATATTTTTACTGCAAAGGGAATAATTTTACGGAACTATACCCAACATACGGAATTATCTCTAATCCTATGGGAATATATTTTTGACACTTTTTCGTCTCAATTTACAAACCGACCAGCTACAAAAATTGTTACACACATTCTTTAATCGCAAGAATTATTTTCTCTGCATAGGCTTTAATAAGCCCATCCCATTGTTACTATAGTCAACTTGTAGCATCATTTCGAGCTTCAAGTTGTCAAGACACGAAGAAATCCTGGGCATGCCATTTAATGCTTCGCTTTCTGACAAAAATGAGTTGCTTGTTGAAGTCATAATTTTAGATGTGTGCATGCTAATTAATCTAGTCTGATTAATATTTGCGGACATTTATGTCTTACTCATGCAATATACAAATAAATGTTGCTTTCAACAGAGCCCATTCCGCGATCATTATACTAACGGATACAACATGTTCTCGAATTCTTCATATACGTTTAATAAATGTCCATTGAAGTGAGAGAAATGGGATACGTTCAAGATTTGTGACTTGAATTTTCAGATCTTGTTAAGAAAACGCATCCTAGTATATTCTTGCTGATAAAACGCAATGTATTTTTTACATTGAATTGTAATTCTTATTGTTTAAATAAACCTAATTTGTTTGTACTGTTCATTCAATTAACCTTGTTAACAATACGCACCTCAGTAATGTTCTTGTTAGGAATACGCACCCCAGTAACGTCTGGGGCGCTTATTCTTAGCAAGATCCAAAATACTATTAGATGTTTGCCACAAACATTGAGAGGTAGATTTAGTTGTCAAGTCCATCTCATATACAAAGCGATCGATAGGGAACTCGGTCTAAATGATCTGTATAATTAATCACGTCCACAGCCACGCATCGTTGACGTCACAAGTTTGTTGTCGCTTATATTAATGACACAGCATTATTCACGAATTACAATAATTACTTAATTACAGTACGATTCATCGTCATGCATAATTTGAATAATGATTGGAATGTAGTACAATTTTGTACCTTTAAATTATAGGTATTTGGATTCTACCACCTGTCTGATCTAATTTTTATCTCTGAATAAGCATAGTAAGTATCAAATAAGCATAGTCAGTATTAAATAAGCATAGTCATTATCAAATAAGCGTAGTCAGTATTAAATAAGCATAGTCAGTATTAAATAAGCATTAGTAAGTATCAAATAAAAAATATAAAAAAAACTTTTAAAAACCACGTTTTCTCAACGGACAAAAAAGAAAAACATTTACTCTTACATAACATTACACAACATTTTACATAACTTAAATGTTATGTAGGAGTAAATGTTTGTCTTTTTTGTCCGTTAAGAAAACGTGGTTTTTAAAAGTTTTTTTTATGTTTTATTTCACTATTTTTAGTTTTATAAAAACCAGAAAAACGTGGTTGTTAAAAATATTTTTATATTTATTTATTTTCTACTTTTTAGTTAGCAATTTTAGCAATTCAAATCAATTTCCAGGGTTGGCAAGTGTGGATGTTCGAGAAAAAACTCAATTCCAAACCGTGAATTTTCAGTGTTTTTTTTTACTTTTTAATTAAAAAAAAGTTTTTTTAATTATTATTTCTGATGATCAAATCTTTAATTGTTAGGCAGCATAAACATGCATGCCAAATTTCAACTTACTAGGATATTTAGAAGTGCTCTAAATTAATGTTTGAATTTTTGATGACAGACACACACGAAACGAAGTCAAGAAAAACGTGGTAATAAGCATAGTCAGTATCAAATAAGCATAGTCAGTATTAAATAATCATAGTCAGAATCAATTCCCTCGCAGTAGCGAAGGTCAACAGCTGTTCAGTGCCGTGTGTGTTCGTATGAGCTGTCGCCTATATGATCGACCTGCAGCATATGATCGACCCTATTATGATCGACCTGCAGCAGAGACGTGACCATGACAACACGTCGCTGCATGACGACGCCTGTTTGTTGTCACCTGACGACGCTTTACTGACTTTACTACAATGTATCATGACGTGTGAGATAAACTTGCCCCCAGTGAATGTCAGAGCTCGTAAAGTTGCACTATGGTTTTAGTTTTGTGTCATCTGAATATAAGGTTGATTATAAACCTTTAATAATATACCTCATCTGCATGTAAGGTTGATTATACCTCATATAATATACCTCATCAGTATATAAGGTTGCTTCAAATGAATAGTATTCCTAATGCAAGCTTCTGCTGTCACAAAGCTTATGCATTATTAAATTTCTCTCAGTCGAGTAAGTCATTATTTCATGAACATATTTTATTAGGACTATTCGTTATTCTAACGAGCACATAAATTCCACAAATAACGTGTCAAAAACAGCAAACAACAAGTTTTAATTAAGGCAAATAAAAATATTAGGTTGATTTTACTCACCAATATAGAGAAAAAAGATTTCAACCAAACAAACAATGGCAACCGCAACTTTAGAGTGCGAAGTTTGTTACAAAGAATACAACTTCGGCAACCGCAAGCCTCTTTGCCTGCAGTGCGGCCACTCGTTTTGCTTCTCCTGCGTATCAAGTTTACCAGATTGTTTTGGAACAATAAACTGCCCCAAATGCAAGAAGGGAACATTGCAGCCTATAGATAAAATGTTGGTTGTCCACTCATTAATTCCATCTGAAAATAAAGCTCGGCAACGTACCACCAGCCTACAGTCTCAGGCGCCGTGCCCACATGAGGGGAAGGCGCTGGATTACCTGTGCGTGGACTGCATGGAACTCGTGTGCTTTACGTGCACCAGGAACAGGCACGCCACGCACAAAATTAAATTGATAGATGCCCTGCTTCACGAGGATGATATTGTTGACTTGCAGGAAAAAATAAGGATTACGATGGAAGGCAAACTTGAAACCTTGAATTTTTTTGTCTCAGTATCGGCTGAAATTTTTTGTTTGATGAATGAAATCCTGAACCTGAAGACTGATTTGTACAGCTGGAAGGATTCGTTGCTGGCCCAGAAAGCATCAACAGAACAAGACCTCAAGGGATTAAGCCTCGAGACGATAAAAACAATGGATGAGAACGAGAGACAAAAGTGCAAAGATTTGCTCAGTCGTCTAAAATTGAAACGTCAAGAAAATAGTAAGATACAAGAAATCAACGCGAGGTTGTATGCAGTAAGCAAGAAGTGTACATCCTTAGTGGTATGTACGGTAAATGGAATGACTATTCTGGTGAATACTGTCTTTGTACTCATATTGATCCACTATCTTAGATAAAATGTAGAGCATCAAATAATCTTAAAAAATAAAAATCAATTCAATTTAAATAGAGTAAATCATCCCTAACGTACAAAAATATTTTGAAGCCATAGAGTGAGGGGGACTCGCGCATTGACAATTGATGGCATAACTGTATTTAACAAGTTGATTACGGTAGTTAAGTAGAATGTACTGTTGCACTCACTTTGCAATATATTTGGAAGAATCCTTCGACACAGACTGTTGTATTGGATCTACAAAGAATTCGAAATGGACAGATAAATAAAATTGCGCAATATTTCTCACAATGCGTAAGATTAACATTTTAACTACTCTACAGTTGCCAAATTGTGAGCTCATGCCGGATGCTGAACCCTGGACAGTCACCAGCTACGATGAAGGAGAGCGAGCTGTCGCCAGCCTGTTCAACAACATCAAGCCCAGTCGCCTCGTGGTGCTGTCTACCCACACCCGCCCCATCCCGGGGTTGGGGGAGCTGCTGTACCGCCTCTCCTACCACCACACCGGCGACATCAGCCTGCTGCCCCTGGACTCCTTCTGGAAGCCTGCAGGATGGTCGGATGAAGAAATGGGAGCCGTCATCAGCGAGTCAGGGTGGGGAATTTTCCTTCAGAAACCCTAGCTACGTTGTAGGTATCAGTTAAATTGGTTCGCAGATTTTAGTGCCCGTGTTTTAAGTTTGTTAAACAAAATTCAGAAAGCACTTGTGATTTAAGTCTCATTTTGAAATTCCGACTATACCTAAGTTTTTTAATCTAGGTAGATCGCAACTGGGTACAAACAAAATCAAATCTGTTATGTTCACAGAATTTGTCCTCTGGAATAATTATTCCGCTTCGAGCTATCGTATTCATTGGATTTATATATATTATTGGAAAAAATAAACAATCGTATCAAAGTTCGTGTAGTTTCTGTGTTAGAAACTCGGTTATCAGAGGAAACATATTAGCAGTGTAGCAAATAATACTCTATGTTGTCTGTTACCGTTATAACGTTATTCGTACGTATTACCTCCTCTCAAGAATTTGACAAGACTCATGTTAATTCTTGCTAAACACCATAATAGACTCAAAACAACTCAAATTCCCTAATGAGATGTGGCCAAGTGCAGTCGAATTAACCTCTTATAGCACCCAAATCTCAAAATCCCCAAAAAGGAACATTCCTAAGTTACGGTCCCGTAAAAATATAGTGTAGGTCTTAAATAAATGCAGTTTTTTAAACATGCTTTATAATTGAGAATTCAGCACACCGAACGAAATTTCAGGCAATGTTTATGATAGGATGCAATTATGAGCAGTAAATTTATTTTTAAAGTAAGCCCTATAGCCTATGTCCAGCCTCAGAATGCAGTAACTACACTTACTCCCAAAGCTAGAAGCCATAGACCACGCTGGAACACCGTAATCCAGACCAGCGAATCACAAGTTGAAGATAATAGCGCCTTAGTTCTGCAGCCAATACATGAGCAGGCAGTTCATGAGCCGGCAGTTCAGCATCCGGCCTCACCTACTCGGCCATAGTTTTTCCTGACCTAACTAGCTAGGGTCATGCTTTCAAAACTGGCTAAGTGAACGTAAGTACTTACGCACTATTTTCTTGTCTATGATTGGTGGATTTTGCTCGAAAGGCCGTCAATGATTGGCTGATGAACTTACGATCCCTTAACTTTTTTTGAAAGTATAGGCCCTGACCTATTCACGCTGCCGCCACTCGCAACCTTCTTGCAGCCAATGACTGGCTATACCTGCTCACTTGCCTCGCCTTTTTAACTTCCTCCAGCCAATGAGCTTATAGGTTTGGTTAGCTCAGGTTTATTTTGAGAGAAAATGTGTTGCCACGTGTTTAGGTTCGGCCATAAGAGGCTAGGCCCGATTAAGTTAGGCCAGATGAAGTATGACTATGCTTAACTTGAGCGTGCTTAAGCGGTGGCAGTGGACTTACGGAGCAATGGCTTTAACCACTGACTTTATAGGCTGCTATTACCTATGGTGCGCTTACGCGCAGTAAGGAATAGGAACTGACGTTTGAAGTTCCGCAAAGTTGGCCCCCCAGCATGCGCCTCCTTTAATCTATTTTGTTTTTCTTTATGATGCAAGGCGTTGGCTTGATGCCGTCTACGGGTCGCCTGACCAAGTCCTCACCTACTTGAAAATCCGACGTCGAGAACCAAGAGATTTCAGCGTTCGACTTGCCAGTAATGAAGACCTCGAGCGCTGCATGGACTTGGCAAGCCCTATCGGTTAGTAAATTGTGTTTTCTTAGAACGTTTAAGGCTGTTAGTCAGAGTGCGACGAAGAGCGAGGCATTCACGACCATCGTGTGAAATCCTCGCTCTGCCCTTAGCTCGGCTAGTCGCTACCCTCAAGCTTGTAGTCTTTGTAATATGATATCCTAGCCAGCCCCTTTCTCGCGGCAACTGGCGGCTTCAAGGTGGCCGAGAAATGGCCAGCGGTCGGCTATAACTAATTAGACTAGGCCGACCACTAGCCACGTATTATTCCTTGCCCTCACCGAGTTCGCCTTCACCGTGCCGCCCGTCGTGGACTGACGGCACACTAATTTACGAAGTTTCTTACTCTTCATACCTTCCAAAAAACCACCATCAAATCAGTTAATACACGGGATCTTCCCTACGCGTATCAGCATGCTTGTTCATAACTAGTTTCTGGTGGATAATATCTACAACATGGAGGCTGATCCAAAAATGCCCAGTATACCATTCAATGGAGAATAAAAATTACAACATGTTACAACCATCTCGAAAAAAGCGTAAAATTCGCAGACTTGATGAAAATTATAATTCAAAGTTAATTGAAATTTACTTCCATCGTGACTCATAATACAAAGCCTACATATTTTTTGTTACTGCCCACCGTTTGTGAATAATTAGCTGGGTAAGCATGGAAAAATGAAGACCGCCATTTAATTTATGAGTAAAGTTCAGCCTAATTTGTGCAGAAACTCACAGGGAAGAGCCGAGCCTGTATGAAGCCTCATTGTTCTCAATCAGAGCCTCAAGGTTTTGTAGAGAGCGGCAATTAAATCTATTCACGTCGGGCGGACCATAAGTGGCTAATTCGATCAGAATTCCAATAACCTATGCAATGAGAAATCTCGCAGACTCTTCTAAAATATTTGAGTTTCATAAAAATGAAATTTTCACGCATTAATTAAGTTTAATCACAAGAATTACCGCCAGCTGGGGTTAGACTGGCCCAAATTGTACTTTTTAAAGTTTTCTTAGATTGATATCTTTTGACATTGATTTTAGTAATTTTCACTCTATCTTGATGTGTAAACAAACTTTTAAACAATAAATTAAAACTCATATAGAACTCTTAATCACTTTGCAATATGTTCATGATTAGTTTTTAATGTTTGGGAAAAGTTACCTTTAATTGAAGAAATTTTAACCCATACTTCTATACCATATACGAATTCTATGTTTAATACTGGTCGGGTTAAAGTTAAACCTGATAAAATTATCACCAGATATAATAATTATTATAAAAAAAACTTACATAAAATGGTATGTAATGAAAATAAATGAAAGAAACGCCATTCTAGCGATATTGCATTGTAAGACATTGTATGATAAAGTGTAAAAATATTCATTTATATCACATAATTATCTAGATCTGATTCATGGAACTGGCTCCTCTTTGAATCTATACTCAGGATTTATCTTCTTACAAACATCCTCCCTGCAGTGGAGGGTCAGGTAATCCTATTTCCTGGCCAGCTTTTTCTTTTTCTTAAGCCTCTTTTCCATCCATTCAACAGAAGGTCCTTCTTCAAATAAGCTGACAATTTTGTCAAGGTACTTCAGACCATTCTATTTACCAAACCCAATGTTATTAGCAAAAATATTGTTCTGGATTCAACCCAACTTGTGTTTCTTTATCATTAGGCCTGTGAAAAGGTTTATGTCTGATTTTTCTTGCAATATTTCTTCCAGTTAAAAAAAAAGGGATTCGCTTTGCCCTTCTAACTATAATATCATCTCAACCTCACCTTCATCTGAGGAAGAGTTTACCTTTCTTTGTTTTATTTCTTCGAAATTCTGTTGATATTATGATTTTTTCAAATTCTTTGGGATGAAGTTATCTCAAATGTGGGCGAAAGTTTTCGTGAAAATTTTATATAGAATTATCATGTAGATAACATATGAAACAGCCTTAATACACCAAAAATACTTGATACAATGGAATATAGAATATTATTTTATACCTAACTTATAGAAGTTTATCAATAATTAGTTTATGTAAGTAACAGTTTGGTGTTAACAAATTTCTCACTGCGAAGATGGAGCAGCACTTGGAGTCACCGAAAAATATGGAATTAAAGCCAAACATCATCAACAATCAAGCCTGTGGTGCTACCGATTCAGTGATGCATGAACTTGGTCGATAACTCATCACAAGATCACACTACTGCACTACAATTTTTTTCTAAATTTGTTACACTTGGACGGCTGTCAGTGTTCTTTTCATTGCAAAATTTCAGGATTAATTTTTGCTTGAATAAACTCTGGAAATAAAGCTGTTGAATGAGATTTTTTTAGCAGTTACTCTACCCGTCTAGAATTCACAGCTATGAGTTACGTCAGCAAATGTAATAGTTATCTGTTGACGTGAAATACAATTAAATCCGACTGAGTAGATTTAAGATTGATAGCGTGACTCTTGAACGTGAATGATATGAACTTCAACCATTCATAAAATTCTAAAGTTTTATACATTTTTGTACGTTGAAAGAATGTTTTTAATAATGGGCAATTCATGGCATTCAAAGCACATGGCAGAAACTTTGATGTTTGGAAAGAAATACAAAATACGTCATTTTTTCACGAAAGCGAAACATCCAGAATCTTTAGTTATCGAGATTTTGAGTATTGAATACTCGAAGATAATAGGCAAACTACTAACTTACTTAATTTTAGAAAGCTGACAATTGTAGCAATAAATTTTATGATTAATAATGTCACTTGTTTGCTTGAATCGCAAATTCACTAAAAACTTAAAAGCAAATAATACTCCACAAAAATTCATAGTATCTTCAAAGAAAACGTTTCGGAGTCCAGCTCCATCGTCAGTTCGAAAATTTTAGAACACAGATAAATCAGTAATTAGTACACTCATGATTGCAACAAAAAACTTAAGCTGTAAAACCTATCTATTTACAATTTCAAGCGGGTAAGACCTAAAAGCTAAATTCAAACTAGGCCTCTATTTAAAAATATACAATGAATGATTCTAAAATGCGCAAATCAGAAACACGGATTTGCGTTTCTGATTTGCGCATTTTAGAATCATTGTATATTTTTAACCAGAGGCCTAGTTTGAATCTAGCTTTTAGCTCTTACCCGCTTGAAATTGTAAATAGATAGGTTTTACAGCTTAGGTTTTTTGTTGCAATCATGACTGTACTAATTACTGATTTATCTGTGTTCTAGAATTTTCGAACTGACGATGGAGCTGGACTCCGAAACGTTTTCTTTGAAGATACTATGAATTTTTGTGGAGTATTCTTTGCTTTTAAGTTTTTAGTGTATTTTATGATTACCTGTATAAATAGATAATAAGTACAATAATAAGCAGGCCGTTGTTATGCTGTATAAGATCAAGCTCATATTTAACTGAGTTTGGGTGCAGAATTACAATCAGACTTTCTTCCAAACTGGTAGCACATTTGCATAATTCAGACATAAATCTAAGCTTCTTTTAAAAGCATTTTTGTTGAGAGGTTTCTTCCCAGCCCAGAAATTTGACTAGTGTGCCTTAAACTTCAGAACCTTATGTGAGTTTTCTTTAGTTTACAGTTTTGGAGTTGCAAGATTGCTTAAGAGTTAAATAGTCCCATTGTACTACTATTTATTTGATAACCACATATTTTGGTGTCGCATGCGTTATCGTAGACAGTATATGCACTATACAGCCAGAGAGCTTGTCTCATTCGTCAGAAAAGATTTTTGCGATGGCAAAACTGGAAAATATGATGACGATAATAAATTGCATGTATGGTTAACATTTGGGTGCTTTAGAAACTGAATTAAGTGAATGAAATAATCAGCCCTTCTTAAAAACGTTCATATAAATGCGTTCTATTAGTTATTGGCGTTGTTTAACTCCCTGCTTAACTTGGACCCGGTCTGTCCAACAGCAAACGTTTGCTGCGTCCAAGGAGCCCCGAGTGACGTTGGCACAACCATGCAGGGGCGTGGTTACACGGTCACCCGCTGGCACTTCCCTGGCCTCCGAAATGGATGCCCAAATGGAAAGGAAGCCCAAGAGTAAGCATTGGACAGGAGGAGCCAAGCAACGAAGGTAGCGAACAGGATGAGACAAGCAGCGAAGGTAGCTGCTTGTAGATTAGTAAGAATAAAGTGTTAATAAAAAGTTAGGTTAAAGGTTATGTTAAGTTAAAGTTAATAAATATCCCTGATAAACTGATAGTTTTATCGACCTAGGGGCGTTTATTGCTGTTCTTAGTATCTTCATGCCAAAGATTATCTTTACTAAATAAATAATAATTTTTACTTTATTGCGTTCGAAGTCATGAATCACAACAGAGACGACTTCATTAATTTCAATTCAGACACGAAAACAACAAATGTTTATCAGCTAACTTATTCTCGGTCGCAGTCTTGCTTGAAAACGTGAAAAAAATGTGCATTGAGATTTGCAGACCCGGTGCTTATTTTTCCATTCATTCATATCAACGATTTGTTGGTAACATTCAAGATATATTACTTTATGGTGTGAGTGTCAATTGAGACGTTTTCTTTACTGACAAATTAAAATTATTAGGAAACTTTTAGAACCATTTACACATTTTTATTTAGAATATTCACATACGATCAATAAAAATTCTACTGAACATTATAAATAGCAAAAGAAGTATGCTTTATTAAGTGTTCAGTCCAAGGCATTTATAGAAATTCTTAAGTTAAGCCTAGCTTTTCAATGCACTGCAGCTTCGTTTAACGTCTAATTAACCGAACTTTCAGCATTCGGCAGTGGAAAATTTATGTGTTCTGAGAAAATTATTGACTTTACAAGAATCGAAAATGAAACGCAAAGAAACATGACAATTTTGAACGATCATCGCAGGCGACACTCACTGACGGGTTCATTTCTTGACAATTCCGCAATCTTTCCCTTCCTTGATCTCAGCATCAACACTTCTGACAGTTTTACAAGCTCAGGAATATTTAACAATTTATAAAATCTTATAATATAATTAATTATAATTATAATTTTTAACTTCATAAAATTAAATCACCGTAACAACTCATCGTTGCAGTTTTCTTTATCCTCCAATGCCTTAAGAGATAGAATGAAGATCAGAAGCATTCAAATCTTTCCAGATGTTAAAATCACTCGTGCTGATCGCTACGGAAGGAACATGCAGAAGCATACTTAAGTAGGAACATGAAGAAGTATATATGTACATGTATAGGATGTGAGGCAGGCTCAACGCTCCTTGGATATCTTCAACTTGACATGATATGTCTGTTCAGAATCGTTAACTGTAATGGCATGATCAACTTTACTGATCCATCTCACTAAACTTCGAAAGCCTTAATAAGTTCTGCTAACATTACTGGCACTAATTGGAAGCGATAACAAAACCATCTCTCAAACATTAAACTTTCTTTGAACTTTCTAGCACTTTATATATAATCAATTAAACTTAGAAGGACGACTACATTCAAACCACTAGACTCCAAAAATGCTACATATATATTACTATATACCCCATTTTCTGAACGCCCAAGTGTCCAGCGGTAATGCAGTCACGTGCTAATTTCATTACTTATATCTTCATTTCTGAAGGCAACAGGAATTGCTTAAGAATATTCAACGCAAACTTCAAAATTGAATATTTAACGCAGTGCTCAAATTTTTGAAGGGCAAGATTCGAAATAAATTTGTGGGTAAATGACCAGGTTTTATCGGGCGGTAATTGTTCAATTTTGACGGGTTATATTCGGGGTAGATGATCGGTACCCTGTTAAGCTGTTTTATGCAAACTTTTACCATGAGCAGGGATTTAATAATGATTATGATTATTATAATGTTAATAAAACTGTTTTGAAACTGGCGGTGAAACGTGCGAGCTGTGAAACTGGGGGGGGGGATGAAACGTGCGAGCTGTGGAACTGACTTGACTGAGGGAACTGACTTAACTGGGGGAATTGACTTGACTGAGGGAACTGACTTGACTGGGGGAATTGACTTGACTGAGGGAACTGACTTGACTGGGGGAATTGACTTGACTGAGGGAACTGACTTGACTGAGGGAACTGACTTGACTGAGGGAAGTGACTTGACTGAGGGAAGTGACTTGACTGAGGGAACAGACTTTACTGAGGGAACTGACTTGACTGAGGGAATTGACTTGGCTGAGGGAAGTGACTTGACTGAGGGAAGTGACTTGACTGAGGGAAGTGACTTGACTGAGGGAACTGACTTGACTGCGAGAACTGACTTGACCGAGGGAGTTCATAGTGTTCTCTAGCGCCGTCAGCTGCTCAGTCGCAACGCCTGCCATAAGCTGTCATCACAAAAACGAGATTTAGTCTGAGCTCAAAAGTTTGCAAACATTGGCTTTAGACAGAGAAATAATATACATCGCGACAGAGAAATAACATTTTCCTCCATTTGAATTTCGAAGAATAATGTTCCTCTGGACTTTTGATCTCTTTAAAGCAAAATAAATAAGCAAAGAAAATTACATGGCAAGCTCAATTACTGGCTGCTCGATCAGATCGTCGAGCTTTGGTCCCAATTTCTGTTTGCGCCCCCATGACGGGAATTAAAAAGCGCCCTCCTGCAACGACCCTACAATGGCGCCCTCCTGCAACGACCCTACAATAGCGCCCTCCTGCAACGACCCTACAATAGCGCCCTCCTGCAACGACCCTACAATAGCGCCCTGCTGCCGCTCCCTCCACAACGCTTGCGGCAGCTCCCGGCGCCCGCTGCAGGTGTTGCGTCAAATGCCTGGTAGCAGAAACGAATACCTTGAGCGAGTAGTTTCCTACTCCTGCGACCGAGTGCAGGCTAGGGTAGAGTGAGGGCTAGCGGGACGCGTGAAGTATTTTATTTATTAGCGGCTATTATTTAACTAGAGTTTAGGGCAGCGAGACCTCGCCAGTCAGTGTTTTGATTGACGTTGCACCTTTTAGTATATTAAATAATTTAGTAGTCCCAATGTCCCGTACCTCCACTTTCCTCTAGTTAAGCTAGATAATTAGTTACGATGGATATTCTGCCTGTTCCTCAATATATAATCAGGTATGGAAGACGTAATGCGCTCAACACTGACCAGCTGGGCTGCCAACTTCGACGGAATTATTGCCGCCGTCCCTCCCTGACATCCATTAATTAAAAATTGATCAAGTTGCACGGAGATCTTTGCCTCGACACTCCAGCAATAAATATATGCATGCCTTGAGTACACACTGTAATGTTCCTATTGGTTCAGGTCCAAACGGATGGATTTATTGATTCGTTGACGGCAACTTTCAGTTAAAGTAGAACAGCAGAACAGAGGAGGGAAGTTCTCCAAGAACAAAAGCGGCTGGCTCCAGTAAAGATCAACGAATGACCAAACCGTTAGACAGGTCCTTCCAATACTTTGGTTGATGTTGCCAGAACATCTGCTACAAAATTCCTAAAACAAAATTCATTGAACACACTCATATTTTTTTCACACTCAACACTCACTCACTGCGCTGAAGATAACTAGCTGCGATAATATTCCATAATTCACGAAATCGTCCTCGCTGGTCTCTTTGTTTCTACGCAGAAGTGAAGGTAATCAAATTACGACCCATTAAAGCCATCACCTGATCAATAACTAATGAATTTTACGTCATTTGTTTGATGCATTTCTTGAGCTTAGGTAAAGTGTATATAAAACAAATCAATTCCATCATAAAAGTTCAGTGTTGGAAAAGCCTCGAAACACCGCAGAGCTCAGAGTATAGATTATTGCCGCTTACATGGAATAATGAAATATTCCTGTCACCACAACATCACGGCCATCACTTCGCTGAAACAACATCACTGTTATCACTTCGTTGACACAACATCACTGTTATAACTTCTTTGACACAACATCACTGCCATCATTTCGTTGACACAACATCACTGCCATCACTTCGTTGACACAACATCACTGCCATCACTTCTTTGTCACAACATCACTGCCATCACTTCGTTGACACAACATCACACGACCCTACAATAGCGGTCTCCTGCAACGACCCTACAATAGCGCCCTCCTGCAACGACCCTACAATAGCGCCCTGCTGCCGCTCCCTCCACAACGCTTGCGGCAGCTCCCGGCGCTCGCTGAAGGTGTTGCGTCAAATGCCTGGTAGCAGAAACGAATACCTTGAGCGAGTAGTTTCCTGCTCCTGCGACCGAGTGCAGGCTAGGGTAGAGTGAAAGCTAGTGGGACGCGTGAAGTATTTTATTTATTAGCGGGTATTATTTAACAAGAGTTTAGGGCAGCGTGACCTCGCAAGTCAGTGTTTTGATTGACGTTGCACCTTTTAGTATATTAAATAATTTAATAGTCCCAATGTCCCGTACCTCCACTTTCCTCTAGTTAAGCTAGATAATTAGTTACGATGGATATTCTGCCTGTTCTTCAATATATAATCAGGTATAGAAGACGTAATGCGCTCGACACTGACCAGCTGGACTGCCAACTTCGACGGAATTATTGCCGCCGTCCCTCCCTGACATCCATTAATTAAAAATCGATCAAGTTGCACGGAGATCTTTGCCTCGACACTCCAGCAATAAATATATGCATGCGTTGAGTACACACTGTAATGTTCCTATTGGTTCAAACGGATGGATTTATTGATTCGTTGACGGCAACTTTCAGTTAAAGTAGATCAGCAGAACAGAGGAGGGAAGTTCTCCAAGAACACAAGCGGCTGGCTCCAGTAAAGATCAACGTGTGACCAAACCGTTAGACAGATCCTTCCAATACTTTGGTTGATGTTGCCAGAACATCTGCTACAAAATTCCTAAAACAAAAATTCATTCCACACACTCATCATTGCAGTTCAATTAACTTCATGCGTAGAAATATCTATAATTGGAGCACTCATCTACTAGCTGCACACTGCGCTGAAGATAACGTGCTACTCGCAGGTCCATAACTCACGGAATCGTCTTCGCTGGTCTCTTTGTTTCTACGCAGAAGTGAAGGTTATCAAATTACGACCCATTAAAGCCAGCACCTGAAAAGTAACTAATGATTTTTCCGTCATTTGTCTGATGCATTTCGTGAGTTTAGGTAAAATGAATATAAAAAAAAACAATTCCATCATAAAAGTTCTGTGTTGGAAAAGTCTCGAAACACCGCAGAGCTCAGAGTATAGATTATTGCTGCTTACATTACAACATCACTGCCATCACTTCTTTGATACAACATCACTGCCATCACTTCTTTGATACAACATCACTGCCATCACTTCTTTGACACAACCTCACTGTTATCACTTCTTTGACACAACATCACTGCCATCACTTCTTTGACACAACATCACTGCCATCACTTCTTTGACACAACATCACTGCCATCACTTCTTTGACACATCACTGCCATCACTTCTTTGACACAACATCAGTGCCATCACTTCTTCACCACATCGTTACTGCCATCACATCGTCACCACATCATCACTGCCATCACATCGTCACCACATCATCACTGCCATCACATCGTCACCACATCATCGCTGCCATCACATCGTCACCACATCATCACTGCCATCACATCGTCACCACATCATCACTGCCATCACATCGTCANTCGGCCGCCGCAGATCTGACACACCCACACCGGTCCCGGGTTAGCTTAAACATCCCCCGATCTCAGCAGCAACACCGCCAGCAACACACGGGGGTCCGTGCGCCGGCCCGGCCAAAAAACAGGCTTCAGGCCTCCCTTTCGGGAGGCGGGGATTTGGTGATTGCCGATTTGGTCCCAAGAAGGGACGCACTCCAACCGCGAGCAGGCCGGCAACATTTGGAGTCACACATCATCACTGCCATCACATCGTCACCACATCATCACTGCCATCACATCGTCACCACATTAGTGAGAAGCGGTCACCATTTCTCCTCATTCTCAGCTGCGTGCTCGCCTGCAGTTGCTGCTCTGACAAAAATATACATGTGCGGCAATTCCCATGACTACACGACACGATAACAGCGCTGATTGTCCGCTATCAACGTGCCTGCGAGCTCCAACAGCTGGTCACGCTATAAGTACAGTGTGTGATCAGACGCTGTACATCGGAGAGCACTTCTATGTGCATTTCTACACTTCTTGTGGGGGGAAAACAGTCTGGGATCAGGCTCTGCACAACAGAGAATATCTCTACTAACCTAACCTTTACACAGCATTTATTTCTATACCTTCTACAGGGGGAATTCAGCTTCCAAACAACTTAACGGTCTGTCAGATTTAATTCATACTCAGGTTATTCTGCTGACACATCATGGTTGCGGTGCAGTTCATCTGCCTGCTCATGCTTGCCTTCGGTGAGTGCCGACTTGGATGCAATCATTGTTGATTCATATAATATAAAACTTGGATGCGATTCATATAATATGAGAGAAGTTATACGGACACCAACTCAGTGGTAACGAATCATCTAGAGGTGATGAGTCATCAATAATAATATCCTGATACGAAAGGAATCAAGGTTAAGCGCTGCACAATGCTGTGCAAGTACACAATTGAGGAAGCAAACAAATTATTGTCGATTTGATATTAACACAGCGGTGGAAAATAACATTTTCTACAATCAAAAAGTAAAATTTTGCAAATTTAATTGAAACTCAGGCAATCACAACAGTAAAAACAGTCTTGGCTTTTTTCAAATTGAAAATAATTCCTAATTTTAATGCAATTATTTTTATTTTTATACATCTACAATCAGGTCACGTTTTTTAATTGTTGCATTCAAATTCCGTTGTTCAGCGCCTCGTGATGACACAGATATGATGCTGATGTGCCACCGGAGCACAAATCGTTACCCGTGATGATGGTGATGTTGGTGGAGTTGGTGGTGGTGGTGGAGGTGCTACTAAATAAATCGCGGTTACATTATCCCGTCACATACTTGCTATAGGATGATTACTATTATGTAATGATAACGCATTAAATAAATCGCGGTTACATTATCTCGTCACATACTTGCTACAGGATGATGACTATTATGTAATGATAACGCATTAAATAACATGAGGTTACATCATCCCGTCACATAATTGTTCAGGATGCTAACTAATATGTAATGATAACGCATCACAAATGCCACAGCAGGTGCAGCGAGGGCAGAGTGCCCTGCTGGCTACGAGGTCGTTGGGTCCAAGTGCATCCACCACTTGACTGGAGGATATCTTACGTACGACAACGCGGTCACTTACTGCCACGAGATCTCCGGCAGCCTGTCAATACTGCCGGACTGCGCCACCTTCACAGATGTAGCCACTTATGTCGACGATGGCTGTAAGATTATTATGTCACGAACATGTTATAATTTCACGAAATATGCAACATCCACCAGACCAATTTGAAGCGTAAAACATTGAAAGTTAAATGATTTCTTGCGTCAGACTCAGCGGATGCCTACAACGGCTTCTGATTGGGCGCCACCAGCCCGGCAGCCAACGGCGTCTGGCAGTGGAGCGACGGCACGGCGGTGGCCATGGGCGCGCCATACTGGGCCTATGTGAGTGACTTCTTGCGATTAAAAATTACTGAATAATCTATTGACGAATGACTGCAGTGCTTGATGCCGTTCTTTGCATTCGTTGTGGGACACTCACTATTCTTCCATATATCGGCCGCGATCATTTGGTTAGGCTTTGGACGCTTGATATTCACAGGACAGTTTTCCATCGCTCCAAAAATGATTTGAAATCTATTTACGATCCAAGCAATCATGTGATCTTAGTACCAATCTGTCGATAAATCCTTTTAAAACACGCCGCATGTTTGGCTCATGCCTACTAAAAACTTGGCGATGAATTAGTAGTTATAACTTGAGTGATAAATGATTGCTAAATATAACGTCATAATGATCTTGTCCCCGCAACATTCTTCAAACGGTTCGTTGGTAGAACCTTGTTGTAAACCGGAGTTGGAGAACTGCGCTTACATTCAACCGAGTGGGGGCTGGGCAGTTCACGATGACTTGTGTGACGTTGCGAAAGAAACTTATCCCCTGTGCTCAAAAGCTCCAATAAATGGCAAGTATATACTGCTCTGACCTTAGATTAACTCAATGGAACATATAGACTAGAAACACTTGCCCTAAGAAATGCTTTGCTTTTAGTTGATATTCGTCTACCAATTGCAAAATTAGAAGAGTTGCCTATTCATAGATTTACGACCTAGTTTGGAGTACAGGCCGCGATACTATATAGCAATTTAAAGATAAGTGTGCGGGACGAATAAATGTGACTATCGACCAGAGAGCACCGAAGTAGCGAAAGCAAAATTTCATGGTCTTGTCGCCCATGAAGACTACGCTTAGCAACTCTTTAATCAACGGACATGGCATACAGCGTTGACCAGGGTTATTGCAACGCCCTCAAACGTAGATTTGTAATCTTGGCAGGCGATTCATTATTATTAAATTTTATAATATTTTCGTAAGAATACCAGTCAATATATACCCTGAATAAAAATTTACATAATAGTGTCGGTTTGATGCTGACGTTCCATCAAAAGTTGACGTCCAGTGACGTCATGAGAGGTAATCTATAAATATAAAAGCTCCGACGTTGTACGGTGAGTCAGTCAAGCTGGGACAGATCTCGTTAACGCTACTTCGACAACAACTCGCTCGTGTCGCAGTATAATCCCTTCATAGTAACCTTGTATTCTGCCATCTATGTGCTAATAATAATAGTTAGTAAAAGTGACCTCGTCTAATTCTCTTGCTGTAATAGCTTCAGGGAAAATGAGTAAAACCCCGTATATTCAGGAATATTTATCAAAGGAATTCAGTAATTATTTCAGTAGATTATATAATTATTACTAGCAGATGCCACTAGTACATTATCTGACAATCCCGACCAAACATCGCCGATCAAGCGTGATGGATTGTTGTTCACATGCATACTTAATGTAACCTATTCAGCACCGCATCGCTATATCACCCTCTCCACTCACCCAGTGGAAAGGATCCTGTCGAGGTTATAAAGAATCAACCGAATTTTTTTATCGTCAATTCTCAAGAAGAAGAAGCTGGTCACATGGCCTGGTTTTTAAATTTTTCATCCAGTTCACGAACCCGAACTCGTTTTCCATAGACCGCGAGCAGACGCCAGACCAAAAGTTCCCATTCTCGTTACCCCATTGTTAACCCTTATACCCAGTATCTTCAGAAGTATTCTTTGCTTTGTGCTTTATATCTTGTTATATTTAGTGATATCAAATATTTTCCAAAAATTTTTTTAACTCCGCACCATAGAACTTGCGCCCTGACCACGAACTTCTAAATTAAAATAATAAATGAAGATTATACTTCTCCGTGAGTCAATTCCAAAATTTGATGTGTATGTAAGTAACATTATTGTAGTCATTTCCCTTAGAATTTTTTTATTAACCTGTGACCAATACTGAATCTATCCCAATGAAATCAAAATATGGGAAAAGATCTGGTTTTCAAAAATGAACAAATTCTTCGATTAATTACAACTTACGAATGTTCTTCTAAATCTCCATAAACAACTGTAAGTTTCAAACATCGCCTCGATACTCTGACCTCGAATAAATTATTTGGCAGCAGATGTTTGAATTTTGTTGATCGTCGTGCAGGTCTCTGCGATAATCCCTACGTGTTGGTGGGCATGCAGTGCGTACACATCATCCCGTCCGCTTACCACTGGCTGGATGCGCGTTCTCAGTGCGCGCTGACCGGCGGAGACTTGATCAACCTGAAGGACTGCGACAAATACCACCGAGTGTACCTCTACCTCGACCAGCAAGGTAACCACCCACATGGTTTGAGATCACTTCGCTGTGCACCTCTACCTCGACGAGCAAGGAAACTACTACCCACATGGTTTGTGATCACTTCGCTGTGCATCTCTACCTCGACGAGCAAGGTAACCACCCACATGGTTTGAGATCACTTTTCTGTGCACCTCTACCTCAACGAGCAAGGTAACTACTACCAACATAGTTTGAGATCACTTCGCTGTGCACCTCTACCCCTCGACGAGCAAGGTAACTACTACCCACATGGTTTGAGATCACTTTGCTGTGCATCTCTACTTTGACAAGCAAGGTAACTACTACCCACATGGTTTGAGAGAACTTACTGCGCATCTCTACATGACAAGCAAGGTAACTACTACCCACATGGTTTGAGATCACTTTGCCGTGCATCTCTACTTTGACAAGCAAGGTAACTACTACCCACATGGTTTGAGATCACTTTGCTGTGCATCTTTACCTTGACAAGCAAGGTATAACTACTACCCACATGGTTTGAGCTGTCTCTTATACACATCTAGATGTGTATNCTTTGCTGTGCATCTCTATCTTGACAAGCAAGGTAACCACCCACACGGTTTGAGATCACTTTGCTGTGCATCTCTATCTTGACAAGCAAGGTAACCACCCACATGGTTTGAGATCACTTCGCACTTCGCTGTGCACCTCTACCCCTCGACGAGCAAGGTAACTACTACCCACATGGTTTGAGATCACTTCGCTGTGCACCTCTACCTCGACGAGTATGGGTTGAGATCTTTTGTTATTATTTACTTTTAATGTATATTCAACGGACACAATATTCGAAGTGAATTCAATGCTTATGCATTTTTAGAGGCAATATCACCGAAACCAACTCTGTCATCAGTATTTTCGAAGCAAGATATGGAAAACAGCGGAGACTAAGAAATTCGGTAATACCTTTGAAATGTTCATTTATAACACAGGAAAACCTAATAATAGGTACAATAAAACAGTTCAAAAATTTAACTACAGATGATTTGAAAACTATGATATTCGAAGATTTCATTATTTGCCCAGAAATAAATCAATTTGCCTAAAATTTTTAAGACACTTAGATGAGATGTCGAACCTCTGACATCTCTAAAGGTCCTCGGTACGTCATGCATAACTTAGCACTAACTCCGGAAAATATTGTGCAATGCGCAGCGCTTGCCTTCAAGCCACAAAGTATTTGTAATGATATGACTGATCTTAGGAGCATAGGCCAAATAATGTGCACAAACCAAAAATATGGTACGTTTGAGAAATATTGACAACGGTAATAGTACGGAGAAATCTCGTCATTCAGGCAAGCTGCATTACTAATGTTCAGGGCCTCCTCCGTGAATTTGCACGACACATGTTTCTTATTTACTAGTATAACTGAAGATTAATGCCAGCTAGGGATAAATGACAAACAATTAGTAGTGTAATTAACACATGTATTATGATGGGCTGAAGCCAATTAAGGGGAGCACCGTGGTAATCGATTTTTTCCGTAACAAACCTCGTGTAAACATGTATAGGAATATTCCGAAATCTGTCGACCAGGGTCCGATGACATCTCAGAGTGTTCTCTGGTATTTTTATTTCATAGATTTATCGACGGATGTTTTATTTTCTTTTTGGGATGACGTTTCCCTATGCAATTCATTCTTAGAAGAATCCAACTTGAAAATTTTGCAAACAAAATTGCTTATTCACATCCTGATTTTATATAACTGATGTTGTGATGTTAGTAGAAACGTTTGAATGGAAACCTATTCTACTGTGCTCACATTGTCAAATTATCATAATCTCTATCTAAATAATTGAAATTTTACATGTATGGAAGTATCTCCTTTACCCTGCGCTCGCCTTCTTATGAAGTGAAATGATGTTTCACCAACTATCTTCAATCCATCACTAGAATACCTATAATTTTTGGTCATATAGAAGTGCAAACTTGTTTTGGCAAAGTTAGAGCATTTGGCCGCCTAGACCAAAAACTTCATTTCTTTGAAATTTACATTGAAAACATACTCCAAAATAAAATTACGAATGTTCTAATTTACGTGGCTAAATCAGGCCACAACCCTCTTGGATATTGGATTGGCGTCTCTGACGAAGTGCTGGAGGGGCAGTGGCGCTGGATTGACGGTTCACCTCTGTCCTTGGAGCTGCCGTACTGGGGAACGGTGAGAAAGCTGGGGTTTACATATTACTATGATTTGTAAGAGAAATAATACTTTCATGTATATTTTATAGTGACATTTATGTAGGAAATATACGCAAATTAAGATGCATCTTTAGCCATCGTCGCGTCCAATAAGAAATTCCCAAGATAGTTATCCATTTTTCGCTATGTTAGGCGGCATTTGCCGTACTAACTCCTCTCCCGTACAGGCTTGTACGTCTGAGAGTGCCAAGTTTGTTCGAGAAGAACGCAAGTCTTGAGTCAACATAAATAGTTTCACTCATTTGCGTAAAATTATTCAAACCATTTAAAAAAAGCAAAAATATTTACTGGCGCAATCGAATCCAAAGCAAATGTAGTTCTTCCTGTCCTGTGTGAAGCATGCATGACACCACTTTCACGACGGATGTATTGCTCGTCATTTATTGAAGTTGTATCTTGTACTGATGATAAATGGGTGCCGTATTAAGAAGAATCTTCCTGTGATGAAAACAGTTCATCACAAAATGAAATTGTTTTATCATTGTTTTTGTGTAGGAAGAACCTGCATTTGATTTCGAAATATTAAATCGTTTAGTAAATAATTGTCGTCCTATTATGATAATTTTTGGTGTGTAGTGATTTGCGAGGAAGCAACAAATCATGACAAAAAATTAAATTTAAGCTGTAAAATAAGGAATTCTACGAGCAAAATTGCCCAAGAAGTACTCAATTTCTTCACACTATTATTCATGTTCTTGAAGAAAACATTATTAATTGTTCATTGGTTTTCACTACAGTATGGTGGAGGGCTGCTAGAGCCCGACAACCCCGGCGTGGAGAACTGCCTGGAGCTGAGCTCTGCCTTCATGTACCGCTTTAGCAGCACCGCGTGCAGCAACGTGCGACGTGTGATTTGCGAGGCTGACCCCGTCTAGATAAGAGGTTGTGCCCTCTAGAACTGCAGCTGAAGTATTTAAAACTAGAGCTGTGGCACTTACAACTAGAGCTGTAACAAATAGAACTGGACTTTTGGCAACCGGAACTATATATAGAGCTAGAGCTGTGGATCCTTGAACTAGAATAATGGAGCATAGAGCTACGAGCTGTGGCTATTGAAACTAGAATAATGGCGCATAAAGCTAGAGCTGTGGCGCACAGCTCACTCCAATCATCATAGAAGATGCCAACGTACGAGATCGAAGCATCTCGTAAAATTAATTCATTTCCAAACTCAGACAAATTACAATAATTTTGCTAACGTTTCGTGTTTTTGCAAATACAAGAATTTGCTTTTTCTATTCTGTAAAAACAATATTTATTTCATTGTAATTCCAGCGCATCTACAAGTTCATCCCAAATTAATGAATTAATGATGTCTTGTTCATATTAGAGAATTGTACGTATATGGGCTTTGGGTTGTGTTATCGTGCGTATTTACTATCAGAATTATACTTGTGGAGTGGATTACTTGCATTGCAAAGTTTTATTGCTTGCGATAAATAATTAGTTTACACGTACGAGTAGTTGTTTTTATACCCGTTTAAAATTTTCCAGTCTATCCTAAATGAAAAAAGAAATGTCTTTTTCTAAATTTGACCAACAGAAAATAAAGAAGGTAAACATGATTCAATAGTCCGTAGGCAAATGCATAATTTTTACGTTATACAAAGTAGCCGAACTAGACATCGCATTGAGAGGATCAGATCTCAAAGGCAGACCACGAATCTGCAATCTTCGGTGGACTTTGAATCGCCAAATGTGGCGGTGAACGCCTCGGTTTAGTGAATATTTATCCAGGGCTTTGGCGTAAAGCACTCGCCCTTTTTAGTGCAATAAGCAACTAAAATCTTATTTGCAGAACCACGTTGGATGCTCAGAAAAACTCCCTGTTTTATAAAGCATAAAAATTTAAGACGAAGTGACGTTTGATCACTTCTAGCAAAGTTCATCGGCTGCAAAGATGGACCACAGACGACATATCCCGCCCACCTCAGCGCTTAAACGTTTTGTATCGTCGATATAAAATTACAAGGCAAAAATACTTAATTATTTACTATATTGACATTGCTTTAGGGAGAATGCATTAATTGTACAACATGGTCTGCGCACGATAGCGAACGTGCTCACGATGATTTACGTTGTTGCATCACGGTTGAAAATAATATATTCTTGTATATTATGTTGACCGACAGCCCAGAAGTAGATTAATGTAAATTTTGGGTGCAGCAAACTTCTTCATTGCGCACTGTGGATGACACAGCAACAGCTCTCGGTTGTTCTGTGTTGAACAATTTTCTATGTGCTGAATTTGGCCTCGCCTGGGGATGGGATGCAGACAAATTACTACATCCTGGGATCACGATTCGTAATTTTGTTTGGAGGACCATAGATGCTTGCACCCTTTTTTCTATATCAATTCTATACCTGTCCGCATTAACGCCACGACTGTTCATATTCATGAATGTTTGAAATAAATGAAACAAGAGCCTCGGAGAAGTCAATGTTAGGTTGAAGTGGGCGCTCAGTATGTGTATGCCTTCAGGAAATCAGGAAGTATCTATGTTAAGGTTCCTGACTCAGGAGATCCTTGTGGCAACGCCCTTCATTGTAGTTTGGAGGAAGGTTAAGTTTTACTAACAGTGGTTGGAATTGAATAAGATTTTTGCCGTCCCTCTTTCTTTAATTGATCGATGCAATTATATCGAGTAGGTGGAGTGAAGGATGTGAAGCTCAGATAGTTTATTGGGGTTGTAGAAGGAATCCGCCGATCAACACCTGTATCAGTGATGGTCGTTAGAATCGACAAGACATGAACACAATGGAATAACAATATCAAAAATACAGAAAATACAAATTATTTAATTATGACAGTTACAGTACATTGAAATGTTTATGGCATGAAAATAATTTAATTGTAGTGAAGAACTTAGCGTCTTACCCCCTTAGATGTTCACAACACACGTCGTTCAGAAAAATGACTCTATAGCTAGTGCGCGATTGGCAAATGGTTCTCCGCTGGCGTTCTTAAGAAATTTCACAATATTTTCTGGTACGATTTAACATGAAATAATTTCGGCATTTACTTAACTTCATCATTCAGTAATTACACGAGTGTTATTTGTGCTCAAAATTGATGATTTACTAACTGTACACTTTTACAATGGTGTAAAATGAAATTGATTAAATCCGAAATACGTAATCGAGATCAAGATAATTAAGTAAGATATTGTTGCATAGGTCGTTAATCACGAGTTTGAAGGTTTAATAAAATACACTATGACATTCAAGAGAAATACTAGTGCGAGTCACTACAGTAGAAGCACCTCAAAGTTTTCAGAAGCTGAACATTCCGCCCCAGCAGCGAGTTCCAACGTCACTGATGTCCACATTCACAACTCATGTTGATCTTTCCTCCAGCATTTGCCTGCACTTACTGAGCTCTACAGTCACTTCAATGCCTCCTGAACTCGCAGAGAATTGCTCTCAATATTTCTGGATACAGTATTATACTCAGCATTTACAAATCTATACCGACGGATCGCGTTCTGCTACTGGATCTGTCTCTGCTGGCCTATATATACTTGGCCACTAGGTGGCGGCTGAATCCTATGTACACTGAACTAGTGGCTAAATTGTTTGCTATACATGATGCCATGCAGCTCACCACTGATGGATCTCTGCAGAGTATAGAGGCTTTGATCTTGTCCCATTTACAAGCAGCCCAGCACCTTTTTTCTTTCTCGTCTGGTGGCTCCTATCACTCGATCGTTCTTCAAATTCAGAAATTGATGCATGGAAAACACGCAAACATTCATGGAGTGCAGCATGGAAAACACAGTCATTCCATCTTGGGCTGGTCAATCTTCACCAATCAAAGGAGGGAGTTTCACTCAAATTTGGCGATTTTTCCTTTCTTTGGAACCTCATCTCGGCTCTTATATAGGGGAAATTCCTATACAAGACTAACTGCTTTAATTTGTCAAATTGCACAACACCTGCTGGGATGTTACATGGTGAATACCCTGTGAAAAGATTCAGTGCGCGATTCTTTTGTTTCTTCTTCCACACAACAACCACCTCTCTGTGAGAGTGTGATAGTAATTCAATTTGAAACAAAAGTGGCATTATATATTTAGCGGTTTCAACATTTAGCCGCAGCTATGTCGCCGATTCTTACCATCACAGAACGTTCACAGCTTGTTACGGTCTCGAACACGCAACTCACTGCTCCAGTTCTGGTGTGTATAACTGCCCGGTTTCCTCGCCGATTCTTACCAGTAACTGGCGCACAGAGCTGGGATCAAACCCGCACCTCTCGGCGCCAATCTTGGTACTCTGAACATTAGCCACTGGGCCGCCCTATACAACACAGTATCTAATTAAAATCCAATTTTACTCTGGCTGGGCGGGGCGATTTTCTCACACCCGAAGTCCTAAAATTCAAGTAAAAAACATAACTCAGCACAGTACTCACTGCAGTGAGTGACAGAGAGCTCATTTTCTCGTCGACGAAAGCATGAAGTCACAGACGGACAGACAGACGGACATGGCGAGCATAATAGTGCATTTTTCCATAAATGAGAGAATGCGCTCAAAATAGGTCATCACACTCATAAACTAACATTTTAGGTGATCATTGACAATTTGTAACTAGTCTACTGCTCATTCATCACACGAAGGTTGTTGAATCTTGGATTGCTCTGCAGGAGCTCCCCGACCACAGTTGGCAATCCTGGTGTTGGCAATAAGGTAAACTCTTCTGCTTGATCTGACTCCAAAAGATCTCAATATAACAATTAGTCAGCCGTCAAGGATGCAAAACTAATGTCCACCAATTATTTTCTTTATTCACTCAAATCTTTAAATTCCCCAAAAGTTGTGTATCGAATTAATTATCGTAGCTGTCAATGTTAAACTTGCCATCGTGAAAATCTATTACGGCTCGAAGGAAGAGCTACGGGCGGTAAACTGGATACGAAAACGCGTTGCACTAAAAAATTTAGAGCTCGCAAATGAATATTGGGCTACCAAAATATCAGACATAAACTAGACTCTACAAGCTCCAGAAATGCAAACAAAGAGATGCGTTGAGTTGCAACAAGTGCGTTGTGCTGTGCGCCAGCTTCTGGTCAGAATCTGCGATGAATATTCTGCGATGTTAAAAATCGACGACAGACAGACGGCTTAGTAAACGCTGAAACCGCTATATTATATTGATTGTATTATATTAAATGAAATCATTGACTCATCGGAGCTGATCTTCACTCCCATTGTAGAGCAACTGCAGGCTATAGCCTCCTGTCACGCTGGCTTTGCTGCGCTTCCTGGCGGAATTAATTGCCTTTACAATTTATTGATTGTCATGTATGTGTTTATTTATTAGTTAGTGTAGTTAGGCAGAAGTTCTTCATTTATGCAGGTTTGGTTGAAGACCAGAGCGTACTTTTTATTTACGATTTTCTTGTTGTTCTTTTCGATAAGCCGAACGAAATTTCTAGCTGGAGCTTGGAGATCAAAAAGTAGATTACCGAATGACATTTTATTGCAGTGCGACGTTTCGAATATATCAATATTCATTATCAAGCAAGTGAAGAGTTATTACAACGCTAAAATTGAAATTTGGACATGACATAAGTTCATAATATGAACTTATGTCATGTCCAAATTTCAATTTTAGCATTTATTAGTTAATAAACTTAAATTTATTATTATCGCCAGCCACAGTTGCCAGTGTCCCGAAGAATACTTCTGCCGGAGATGTGAGACTGCCTGTGCTCTGCAGACTTTTATCACCACAAAATGGGTGAAGAAAATTACCTTCGTTGTGCTTTATTGCCGGAATTTAAATATTAATACACCTAATATACGCCACTTGTCCTAAATGACGAGGAAAAATACATAAAAATTCATGCTTACATTTTCTTTATTTGTGTAGTTTGGCAGAAGCTGTTCTTTAATGCAGGTTTCAGTGAAGACCAGCTAGAGTATTTCTTATTGACAATT